TCAGGTGCTGCTTTAACCATGACTGCTGCTACGGTAAGGCGGAACAAGCAGGTTGTCACCCCAAGATAGAAAGTTACCACTGGGAATGTGAGGACAACACTGCTGTCTGTGGTGAGGGAACAGCTCTACTGGCTTTTCTTGGGTTTGGTGACGGTTTTTGTGGGGTTTTGGGTTTTTTTTTTTGGGTGAGGGGGGTGGGGGAGGTGTTGTTTCTTTTAATTCTACTAATGGTCTCCTTGACTTCCTAGAAAGACATTTTCTTTATTAACTGTAAAATCCTTATTTTACCATCCTTCCTTCTGTGACTTCTTTCGCCAGGGTAAGCTGTGCCCCCAGACAGCACAGCCATGCCAACCACCTGAATGTGGTTTCTTCTTCTCAATCCCCTCCTACTGACACAAACAAACAAAATCCTGATCTACAGGCTTCTATTACACTTTCAGAAAACGCTACCAAACCCCCCTCCTTTTGCTCAGCATTTACATGCATCAAGGAACCCATGTCATGCTACACCCTGCCAGCCTCCAACTGCAGAGCAACTACAAGCAGGAAGCGGGAAGTTTACCAAAAATTATCTTTTTGGTACTTAGCAGAAAATATTTCACACATTTACCCGTTTATGACGGACAGGTTTTTAGCATACTTACCCCTGATCGGCTGCACAGCTCACTGCTGCAACTTATGAATGAATTCACAGTTACAGTTTCAAACACTGAGGTAATAAAATATTTGACTCTAGTGGCTGCAACTTATGAATGAATTCACAGTTACAGTTTCAAACACTGAGGTAATAAAATATTTGATGGCTATTTATGGAAGTAACACGTCCACAAGCCATGAATTGTTAACCTGAAAATATTTACATAATTAACATACAAGTTGCAACAGACGGCTGACCACAGCCTGATGAATTGCATTTGATAGCTCTGAAACTGGAATGCAACACACTTGCTGTGCTGGGGCATGGAAGAGAGGGATGAAGAGATCTCAAAGAAACAAGCAAAAATGTTTAACGGGAAAAAGCAGAATTTCTTTTACATTATTCATTCGTAACTTCACGAAGTTTAACAAATATTTTCCAATTCAAAGTCTTTTCGAAGACTTTCTGAAACCACAACTTCTCACAAGCCCCCAAAATTTGCAGCATTTTTTTCTTCTTGTTTGGCTTTGGGTTTTGTGTGTTGCTTGGGGCTTTATTTTGGTTTTTAAATCAGGTGCTAGGTCAGTTACTTGGAAATGTAATTTTATGCTACTACCTGGAATGCAAATCAGCTGAGACCTGGTTATTATTTGCACCACAAAAATGCAGGCCCTTACATAAACTTGGTGACAACGAGTCTGAGTTTGTGACTACCACAGTTTAAAGGCAACACTGTAGGCCATTCAGAGAAAACACAAACCTCTCATTGCATAACTCAGTTTAGAATTTGCCTGACATGAAATCAAATGAAAGCTTTTGACACTATTTCCTTCACTCCTTTTCATTCAACCTTTACTTTGCTCAAGTGTCTATCGCATGCCAAATCTCTACTTGCCAATTGCCTCCTCTGCTTCAAAAAGTAGTAAGAGTCTTCTCTCTCAAACTATCTAATTATTGTCAAATTACAGATCACTTATTTGGCTGTAAAGGTACTGCTCCTGTTCAGGTCCAGGATCTGACAATGTTATAAAACACTGGCCGAGACAGTAGGCATGTCGTCAGAACTAAAGCTGAAACACAGCCCCTGGCATACCTGGGAGAAAATTAAGTTTGGAGCAGTAACAAGAGAAGGAAGAGTTGTTCTCAGTTGTTTTTTTTTAATCCTATCACGTTGTTTATGCTACTCATGCTAATGTGTAGCTCTTAGGGTAGCTAGTTGCACCGTCAACATACATACATTAAGAACACTTCCATTTCATAGCAGAATTTGAGTTCATTCACAAAACTGAACACTTGTTCTGCTCCTAGAAAAATGTCAAGCAGAGATTCAGCTAAGCTTTCAAAATATTAAATACTCAGACAAAACATAATCAAAGATTCATCAGTTTACTGACAGATGCAGAGGGAAATAATCCACACATTTCTGGGCTGGCACAATAAAACCAAAAGATATTGCTGTAGAAGAAAACGTTCATGCCAAGAAGAAACATTCACACCAAGAAATCTGTTAAGTTACAACACTGCAATTATAAACCAAATATGGCCAGACATGAATATTATCGTCCTTGAACACACTTCATACTGAATGCCTTAAAAAAAAAAAAGTGGGTGATTTAAGCGGAACACAGAAAATCTTTGCATCCCTTATTTCACCTATATGATTTTAATGCTACATCCTTGAGTGAAATAGAACACACCGCCCCAAAATCAAGTTTCACTAGAGCAACAGGGCAGGCAGGGGGGTCACATACCACTTTCTAAAGAGATGAATCCGTTATCAGAGTTCTTTTATTAAAAAATATGAAGAATGGTATTGAAGTCTTTATCCAATTATTACATTTTCAACTCCCAAGACAGTTCCATTGATTACCAACTGCTGCTAGACCAAACCACGCTGTGTGTTCTCTATTGCTGAGATGTCCTAGCATGGAGCTCTGCCTGAAGAGCTGTAAGTCATACTAAAGCTCAGTACATTTCCTATTGCATTGGAAATGTAAGAGTAATTTATATGGCAAATACATAATGTGAGGTAGCAGTTCTTGGTATTCCATTTCATATTTTTAATTACTTCACACTAACATCAAACTTACTGTGTTTTCTTTCAGAATCACTGGAAGACAAATGTCAAAAAATGGCATGTGAATGTGACAGTGAAGCTGCCAAATGTTTTTCTAAAGCTCCCTATCACACAAAATACCTTCTGTGGCCAGACTTAATGTGTGGTGACATTCAGCCTTTGTGCAGGTATTAGATATACAACGTCAGTCTTTATGAAAACTCTGTATGTATTGAAATCGAAAATGACTTTTCTTTGTCACAGTAGTGACAACAAATTATTTTCCCCTTTCTTGATCCTCCTTCCTGCCACCTCAGCCTCTCCACCCCAGAATGGCCAAAGTAAACGTTTATCCTCTTATTTATCTTCTATGGTGCCCAGAGTAAAAGCAAGTTAATTAGTTCTGTGTAAGCTTTTATTGACTAAATAGGCATTTGAGTTTATCATCTTAAGGAGTAACTGACTTAAAATTTGTTGTTTATATTCAGTCACAGATTTTTCAGATTCACAGTCTCATTCACTGTAAACTTCCCATCCCTCCTCCACTGGCTGTAAAACACAAATCAAACTTTTCCACTAACGTTTATCTTAACATCTGTTAACTCTGAACTGACCAGAAGAAATGCATGAAGTCACACCGTCAGCACAAAGAGCCCTCTCATCTATATTATGAAGCCTAATTTAACTCTTGCATCTCTCTCACCTTAAGTAGTCTTACCTGTATTAAAAAATGCTTAATAGATTTTTTTTTTTCCTCCCTAGTATTCACTTTTTAAATCGTTTCCTAAGAAGTAGTTCATTTGAGATGGGTCAAGCTCCTTACTCTATGTACACCCTGAGTTTCCGGTGGGCGCAGCGAGTTCTACCCCTAAAACCACACAGCCAGATTTCAAAGTGTCAAGACCGATACAAGTAGCAGTCACTGGGATCAACTGCCTTTCCCCTAACTGTGTGATCTTGGACGGCATGAGTTTGCAAAGTTCAGAAGCGCACATACCTAAAAAGGACGTAAAGATGGTTTTAGCTAAGGTTGCTTCATAGTTTTTTGCTAGGAAGAGAAATCAGTAACACAAATTGCTAAATAACACACTTTTTCGTAACTGCTGATTTGAACAGTTTAAGAACCAGAAGTGTTTTATGTCTCCTCCACTCGGTTAAAGATGCAGGGCTACAGAGCGAGTTTGCACAATTCAAAGGTAATGACGAGTCCTTCAGTATAAAAAACCCCACGCTTCTGTAGGACGGATGAACATTTCAAAAGAGATCTTTAATCTTTACAAATTTTCATAGGCAATTTAAGGTTCATATGAATGATCCAAATGAAAAAAACAAACAACAACAATGTAGAACACCAAGGGACAAAGGTCTTGAAAACGCTGACTTTCGCCTCAGTCGGAAACTCTACATTAACAAATGGCAATGCTGTTTACACAAAATAACCTTCCAGTCAATATTCGCTCACAGATCTCGACACACACCTAAGAGTGCAGTAAGATGCAATTACAGTGCCAGGCCACTTTTCCAAAGTGATCCTTGTTAAGACAGAAGCCTGCATTTAAGAATTAGTATCAGACTTCAAGAAAGGAGCATTAAAGAAACTATTGATGAAATCTAACTGATCTGAATACAAAATTTTGTATGGCAATCACCACATTTTCCAGAAGACAAGAAAACTCAAGCAGTCTTTGCCTTCAGCAGTGGGAATTTCAGAACAAACTCTACTGCAAGTCTGTATTGGACAGTCACAACTTTACATGTAAAGCATAATGAAAACACTGAAGTACTTTCAGTATCAAGCCTATCCAGGAAAAGCTTTCCTTTGGCAAACTTAAGCTAGGAAGACACTTCTGGTATGAAATGCCAGGTTTTAAAGAAAATAAATTTAAAAATCACTGCAGCTGTTCAGAAGACACCGATTTTAAGGCAGGCTTCAAAATAACCAGAATGCTCGAGACAGAATAGAGAAGTTTGATTTGATCAAAAACAGGGTGCCAAGACTGTGAACTTTTACATGGCTAAATCAGGAAATGTACTTTTCTTCCCAAGAGAAAATCCCTTTTGGATAATAAAGCCCATCCTCAGATTTGGAGTCAGCTGGTTTAAGAGTAACTTACCTTAAGGCTTTTTTGTATGTTGAAGTTAACATAATCCACCGTTTTCACTGCCACATGTATAAGGAAGAAAAGCAAAGTTTATTTCAAATGTCCATTTTAGAAACTAAAGAGCTCAAAAGTTCCGGCGCCAGTCACTGCACTTGTGTCTCCAGACGCCTCACTTCTTTAACCACGAGATCAATGTTTATGATTGGGTTAAAGTACAAGGCCCAGTAAAACAAACAATTGCAGACAAACTGAGGAATGAAAGGCCAAAAAATGGCAACAAAAAGACCCTGGGTTGAGACTTTCCAGAAGTGCCTCCACATTCTGTGAGGGATCGTCCTGTGAACAAGGAGAGGGAGAGGCTTAGAGGAACTCTGCGTTGTAACCATGCCAAGAAAAGCTGATACGTGCTGCTGCCTCCAGCCCTTTAGCCCTTGCTCAGGCACCTGAGAAAGACCATCCTGCACCGCAGGAACAGGCTGGCAGCAGACGGTGACAGAGGGTTTGGAGGAGGAAGCATGAAGACTCCCAGAGCAGGGAGGACAACCGAGGGCGGCAACGCCGGCCACCCCTCAGAACATCAGCCTAACTACGCGTGTTTATCCTCCTTTAATAGCTCTAAGTCTATCGCGACAACATCCGTGCGTGTTTAGTTCTCGGCTGACAGCTCAGAGCAGTTACCATAAAAGGCCATTCCCAAGCTAAGAGTTAATATTTCCCCACTATCTAAGAACACGCATGCTGCTACTGCATTTGCTGCATCTGACCAGGAAGGCCAGCTACAAGAAAACCCTTCAAGTATTCACAGAAATAAGATACTCCAGAGTGATTACCAGTGTATGGGCAGATTCAGTCTCACACATTTAGTAACCCCAGAGGTGTCGTTAGACACTGTCATTTCAGTGAGTAACGCCGCAATCCTAAAACCCTTACTTTCTATTTATAAGGCCAAGTACTTCCTACCCCCTTCAACAAGCTCAGTAGGACTTACTTCAATTCTCTTCTTGACCAGAGCCTCCAAAAGGAGAATAGTTCCAGAACAGAGAGCAACATGGCATTTACAATTATAAATCTGGATGTCCAGTAGTGCACGTCCAGCCAATCCCAAGCAAATTCAGCTATCAACTGGTATGGCAAAAATAAATACTTTACAATGAATTCTCTCCACTGTTTCCAAGAAGGATCTTTAAGGTCCTGTAAATTAGGATAAAAAGCCTGTTAATACATTGAAACCAGTAGTTAACATTTACTACACTTTCTGGTTGAAAATACTATAGCCCAGTGATTTCCGTCAGATTAGAATAAACTACCACAGACAGCCAGACCTTATAATGCCATTTGGTCAAATACAGGTATTTTGAGTGAATAGCTTTTCTATAGCCATGCGAACTTCAAAAAGAAAAAATCAGTTTCGCAGATTTAAAGTCTTAAAGGCCTGAAGTCAATCTTATTAAAGGTAACGGTCACAACGCTGCTGATCACACGCAGTAAAACCAAGGAACCACTTAACTTTGTAGGACCTTTTTTTTGAAGTTGTGTTGTAAAGAGTTCAAACGGCGAATCGTTACACCATGCGGTTTTATGCTGCTAGTCTTAAAATGCTTACAGCTGAGCAAAGTAGCACATGTAATGTTTTGAACACTTACTAGGAGTTTTGTGACAATATCTTCATGCTTATCTTCTTGTGTAGGGCAAATTGTGTGGATGAAAGGTAGGAAAGCTTCTGTGTAATCAAACAAGTACAGGTATAACATACTGAGCCTTGGAGAACTCTTCAGTGCATACAGAAGAAAGAGTGATTTTCCTGGATTTACTGCCTGAAAGGTATCAAATTATCAAGTTTCAAACAATGAAAAAATAAAATGAAAGGGACATGCCAGTTCTTAGGTTTTTCTGACAATCATTTTTCAAATACATCAGCTCGTTAAACTGAGCAGTTCTCACAAGAGCAATCCTACCTTAACACTCCTCCTGGCTTTAAGAGCCTTCTCTTTTAAAGATATTATTTTAAAAATACTGAATACACATGACAGACTTGATGTAAAATTTACCTTATATTCCCAAAGGTTCTGTGGTGGTTTAACCCCTAAAGTTTTCACACATTCCAGTTCCGCCATAACAGCTTTTCTGTGGTTGCTATTCTCTATACCGTAAGGCTCCTTCATGAAATCCTCCTCTGTCAGTGTTAGGAGGAGTCTGCAAAAGCCAGAATAATTCAGAAGGTGCCTTCTCACCAAACAGGTACAACTAACAAATGAGCAGTTACATACTGAAACAATAAGCTACTGATAGAAGGTATCACCTTTTGGATTACACTCCATATCGAGTGTTCTGAATCAACTGCGTCTCAGAGCCTGGGTTTTAAATATCCTTCTTTTCAAGTTTGCTCTTGCCTGCTTTCAGCATGCAAATTTATCAGCTTGTTGGCTATTATTGAACACAGCTCTTCAGTACTTCATGGATCTAGTCTGGTCTCCTGAAATCAAACCTAGAGCTCTTGGGTGGAATGCAATAATGCATATAGCATATGCATATTTTCACAAGAAAGAAAAGGTGGGAGGGGTGGATAATACATTAGTAGAATTTTACTTTCAGTCATTTCAGTCTGCATTGTCAGCATTTAGAAAATTTTCAGTTAGCTTGCTTAGGATCAAAGTTCTCAGCCACAAGTGTTAAAACTCCCCCTGAATTTTACTCTGATACATCAACAGAATATTCCTACAACCTATGGAACAAAGCACTGTCATTTCACAATAGACCACCCCCAAGGAAAGCTCTGCAGTAGCTGGAATGATAGCTGTCCTTAACAATTAGGCCTCTCACCTTCCATTCACCTTCTCCAGCAAAAATCGGTCTTTATAGTGCGAAGCCCATGGGCCCAGCTGCTCTAGCCAAAGTATCACTTCCTCGGCAGTCCATTTAGCAACCGGCTTGTGGACAAGAAGATCATCTTCAAATTCCCTGCTACTCCAGTGATATCCAAGTAAAACTACCTACAGGCAGATTTAAAAACAAACAAGGTCCTTTACCTGCAAATCAAGTATATTAACGATGCAAATAAACACGCATAAAGCAGCTTGACATGTAGAATCTTCC